CCGCCATAACCGTCCAGGGTCGGGTACCCCCCCGCCGCCGCCGCCGCCGGGCCCGCGTAGCCGCCGCCGTCGCCCGGCGCGCCCGGGCCGGGGGGCAGGGAGGGGTAGGCGGTGGCCTCGTAGGCGGGCGCGGGGTACAGCCCCGGCGCGCCCGACAAATAATCAAGGTACCCCGGCGCCGGCGGCGCCGAGGGGGCGCCCGCGCTGTTGCCGGCCGCCGCCCCGCCGCCGGCCGCGCCCGCGACCGCGGCGCCCGTGGGGTCCCAAAAGCCGGCCCCCGCTGCCGCTGCCGCCGCCGCCGCGGGCCTGGGAACGGCGGGGTAGCCGTAAGCATTGAGCTGCGCCGCGGCCTGCTGTGCTGTCGGGGACGCGCCTGTCTCAGCGCGCCGGGGGCCGCGCCCGCGGGGGCGAGAAGAGGGTGGGCGGGGGGAAGTCATGAGCGAGCGGCCGCGCCGCGGGCCGAGCGGCATCCACCTCATCAAACGGTATCCACCTCGAATGCTTTGCTCTGGCCTGCCCGCCTGGAGGGCTGCGCCGGTGTGCACTCCCGCCCGCAAGCACGACCTGCAGGCGCGCGCGCATCGCCGGCACCTCACCCGGGGACGGCGCCGGCAGGAAGCTGGTGCCGGCGGCCTCCCGCAGCAGCGCCGCGACTCGCGGCTGGTCGGCGGCCGCAGCGATGTCTAGGGGCGTCCGGCCGTCCTAGGGATTGCAAGGAAAGCAGGCGATGCAGGCAGCGTTGTGCATATGTGTATATGTGTGTGTGCGTGTGTGTGCACGCGTGTGCGTGTGCGCTCTCTGAAGGCTACGTGTGTCACACACACAGACACAGACACCCACACACACACACCTCAACAAACAAAAAGAGACGCAGGGATCACACGCCCTCATGCCTACACGGCCCACCACACTGTTCGCCCCAATCCTATTTCAAACTCCTGCACAACACTAAGCCCGGCCCACGGCTCTCCACCCTACCAAAATGCGCACCCTGACAAGCACATGCTCGCGCTTTTTCCACAACGACACACACGCCCACCCACCCAACCGCACACACATGTCTAAACACACACGTCCACACACACACACATCTGAACACACACACACCGCACCTTATCCCTGATCCCCGGGTCCGCCCTGCGCCGCAGCAAGTCTGTGACAACCTGCAAGTGCCCGGCGCCCGCAGCCAGGTGCAGCGCCGTGTGGCCCTCCTTGTCTGCAATGTTGGGGTCTGCGCCACGCGCCAGCAGCTCGCGCGTCATCGCGTCATAGCCCTTGGCGGCCGTTATGTGCAGCGCGGTCCAGCCCTGGAGCAAGGGGAGGGGGGAAAGGGCGGCGGCGTGGCAGGCTGGGCTGTGGACGCAGGCGCGGGGGTCGCCGGCGCGGGGGCCGCAGGTGTCTGCGGGGAGGCTTCGAAGCAGTGGTGTGTCCCAGCAAGATGAGGGCCGGGGCTGCGGCCCAGCCCAGCGGGGCATGCCAGTTGCCGAAACGACAGGGCCGGGGAGGCCAGAGCTGCAATCGTGCTGCGTTCACTGCCTTGCGGCCCTCTCTGTCACCCGCAAAAACAGTCCGCGCGACGCGAGCCAGCATCGCAACCCAACAGCCACCGCCCCTGCGCAACCGCGGCCGCAACTGCCTGCGCCAATCTCTGGCGGGCCCCAGCCGCCTCGCTGCTCGCCGCACCTTCGTGGGCTCTGCATCATTGATGCGCTCCGACTGCTGCTGCACCGCCAAGTACAGCTTTGACAGGTCCCCGTCCATCGCCGCCTGGTGGAGCGCGCTCACAGTGTTCCCCATTGCGCCCCGTCGCCCCCCCTCCGCCCCCGCTGCCGGGGCGTGCGGCGCTCGGTGCGGCGTGGAAGTCGGCCCAGAGGCAACCAATTCCGCCAAACTGCAGCTCACAGGTTCATGCGGCAGGGGACGGGCGCGACCGCAGAGGTGGCAGGTGTGTACACTGGCGTGATGCGGGAGACAGTGCGAGTGGAGTGCCCGGTCGTCGGGCAGTTGGCGCTGCGGCATGGCTGGATCGTGTCAAGCACACCTGCAGAGGCTTATAAGAGACTGTGCGGCTGTTCAGTGTCCCCGCGAGCGTCGCGAGAACTGCGTTCGACAAGGAGAACGACTACGGTAGTCGATCTTCACGCAAGAATTGTCAACAACATGCCGTACTGAAAGCTAGATAGACGCTGATGTAGCCTGTCGGGCCGCACAAGCCTGCCTGAATGAGTGAATGCGCGCGTCTCACCGTCATCCGCAGTGAGGCGGGGTTTCCACTGCCCGCCGCCAGCAGCACTGCCAACATTGCCGCAGCGCGCATGCATGTCATGTTGAGGCAGGCACTGCTGTACTGTGCACACCCACAGCTGGGCCGCAGTTGGTCGCGAAGCAACCGGCATCGCTGATTGCTCTCCCTGCTCGTGGCTGCAACCACAGCGCAGCCAAGCCTCTGCTGCATATATTCTTGCTGCAAAACAACCACGCGCACTCAATTCTACCTCGGGCCCATCAAGGTGGTGCTGGTGGTGGGGGTGATGGTGGCGGTTGTGCGGTGTCGCATGTGCAAGCTGGGCAAACGTCACCGTGCTTGCAATGGGACTGGGACAGGGAGTCGGGGGGGCTCCAATCCACACGGTACAAACCAAGCCGCTCCTGGCTGGCAGTGGGGACTGCCACCTGATAACCTGCCAATTGCAATTCTCAGCAGCGAGATCCTGAGCTGCCGCCCCAGGAAAAAATCGTGCGCAACACCGTTTTGACCGCTGTCCGTATGCTGCGCGGTGGTTATGATCAGCGCGGCCGTGGAGGCGAGCAGTGGAACAACACTCCAGTCCACAAACCACTTGCGATGTGCGCCGGCCTACAGCATGCTCGGCGCAAGCGCAGCAATGGCGCTGTGGCCGGGCGCAGAGTCAACGGTCCTGCATGTAGAAGCTGAGTGGCAGTTTGATCGTGTCCGCGCGCCGCTCAGCTAAACAAGACAACATCAGGCTTGGCACAGCTGTGAGTTGAACTCAGTTCAGCTGTACAAGCTGGGATGATCTGTAGCGGTATTTGAGCCATAAAAAAGGGGCGAAAATTTTAGGTTGGAGGTTGCACAAAGAGGCGTGGGCAAAGCACTTGTGAAGCACATGCGAATACGCGCGGTCGCTTGGTGAGGGGCGGCACTTGGCCTCTCGCGCACGCTCGCGACGCCCTTTCTGAACATCAGTGAACGTTCAGGGGCAGTGCCTAACAGGCTTGTGCAGCCCCGAAGCCGCCACAATGCCTTCCCACAAGAGCCTCCGCATCAAGCGGGTGCTCGGCAAGAAGGCCAAGCAGGTGTGGTGCTTAAATAACGAACTGGTGACCTTAAGCCTGCGAGACACGCCAGCCTGTGGCATGGGAACCATGCAGCAAGCCGTCGCTACTTGTGCTGGCGCAGTGCGGCGCCGCTGGCGACGCAGTAGCATCCCCGCTTGCAGGCCGGCGTTCAGCCTGTGTTATCAGCGGGCTGAGGACTTGTTGGCGTCGTAGTCCGTTTGCGCTCTTCTTTGAAGTACAGCCGCACCAGTGTCGGCGATCACTTTGGCTATGCTGCGCGCACGTGATGCTCCCGCCCTGCAGAACCGGCCGATCCCCCACTGGATCCGCTTCCGGACAAGTGAGCAGCGCAGGGACTTTGAGGAGTTTCCGTTGGGCAGATGCTGGTTGAGGATGCACAGCCACACAGGGCAGCAATGTACAGCAGCTAGCAGGGCGCATTTGTGCTGCGATACGGCGAAGCATGTACAGCCACTGATGGGCGTACAGAACTCTGTTGAGCTGCTGCCAGACATGCATGGCATTGCTTGGTTAGCGCGCACACGCATTGCCCGTGAATGAGGGTGGTCTTTCAAGTGCGAGCTGTAGAGAGCACAGAGGCCTACTGTGAACCTGTGCATGCTGCCCTCATTGCTGCCCAACAACGCAGACAACAAGATCCGCTACAACGCCAAGCGCCGCCACTGGCGCCGCACCAAGCTGGGCATCTAGACTGCTGCCCTCTGATGGCGAGCGCCGGCGCTTGCAGCGAGGCGCAGCAGCAGCGGCAGCGTGGCAGGGGGCTTCAGGCAGCGTGACGTCGAGTGCGGCACTGCGAGCGAAGCATGCCTGCCTGCGGACCGATGTAACCGCCACATATGCTGCACAGGAACTAATTGGCACCGGCAGCTGGGTTGTAGCGAAGCCCAAGGCAGGTGTTTTGCGTTCTAACACTCATTTGCACAGCAGACTAGCGACATTGTCGGACGGTTGCTCAGCCACCAACACTTTGAGCAAGGTAATAAGGCAATGCTCAAACAAATTTTACAGCGTGCTGTGTGACGATCAGTCGTCGCTCAATGCAGGTTTTTCAGTGAAACGGTTGAAGGTCTCAAGGGACAACTGTGATCCATTGGAACAGCCGCAGGCTTGCGTGGCATGACTCAGTGTAAGGGGGGGCCAGGAATGCTTGATCCAATGATGCGCTGTTTCATGCACCAGGGCCCCAGGCTTCTTCACTTACGTGTCATGTCCAGCCACTGGCTCCAGAAGCAAGGCCAGTCTTTGACCTGACTATCCCTTTTTTGTTGACGGCACTGATTTGCATCCAGGTCGCTAATTGTTTTACATACAGGGGCGTTCCGTGCAATGAACAAAATGTATGTGGCGGTTGATAGCACAACGGTCCTACCGTAGGGTGACAGCGAGGGCTTCCTTGATGGGTAGTGGTCTGCAAATGTTGACTGCACACTTGTTTTGCCAGAGCGCAGAAGTGACGCATCCACCCGTAGTTTTCTGCCTTTACAGCAGAATTCAGTGCATCAAGTGTCCCAGTTGAGAGACCTCTTGCTTCTGCAGCGCTTTGCCTTGCTTGCGCTGTGCAACAAGGACCCCGAGCTTCAAATGTCGTGTCATTGGGATGCGAAACCGTTGCCGGGTCGACTACGGTACGGTACAGTATGAGTCCGCAGCAGGTTGTGGTATACTTGCCTACCACCTCTTTCAAAGTTCATCTAAAAGCGTCAGAACACCTCGTGTATCATATCACCGCGAATCCAGATCACCGGCAGTTCAAAGCTTCCACTTCGACAGGCATTCGTTGCGAGGGTCAGGATTGGAGGAGCCGGAAAATTCACTTACTTAAATCTGATTATGATGGACCTTCAAACGGACTAACCAAACCGGGCGTGCCATTTCAAGACCATGGCATCGCCAGACGGGCTGCTGGCCCATCTTTCCGCCTTACAAAAGGATGGGGTGCAACGCCTCACGTCCTTGGTGGATACGCAGAAGGCTGCGCTATCCGTATTGATCCAGCAGGCGGAAGTGGAGATCCTCGAACTGGTGCAGCCCTATCAGAGCGAGAAACCGCGCTCCAAGCGCCGTGTTGGTGCCAGGCAGCCCCGGGTGAGGCATCTGCCTGTACGCAACAGGCTTTACAGGGGTCGATGGCTCTCGGACCCTGTTGTGACAATGCTCCACTGCTGCACATTTCCACTCGGCGCGCAGGACGCGTCGCCGCAGCCAAAGGAGGCTGATGCAGGTGACCTTGAGGAGAGGAGGGCAGCAGATGGGCATAGTTGCATAGTCCGATCTTGCTATGCGCTCTGTGATGTACGCGCGCAACAGTTGACGCATCAGTTTTCGAACCATTCGCAGGAGCGGCGAATGCGCGGGGCAGCAAGCGTCCGGGCACAGCAGCGGCAGGTGCCAGGCCCAAGCGAGGGAGGCCGCACAAGGACGCCCAGGAGGACTCTGATGCAGAGGGGACGCTGGTGTGCGCTGCTTGGGGCGCGGACATGCAGACGGACGGTGCTGACGGCGCAACATCCCCTGCCGCCGAGCAGCAGCAGCAGCAGCAGCAGCAGCAGCAGCAGCAGCAGCAAGAGCAGCAGCAGGAGGAGTCAGATCGGCGACAGCAGCAGCCAGCTGGCGATGACGGACAGCCGGGTACGGGCGCGTCGAAGCACCAGCAGAAAGAGCAGCCGGTGGCAGCGCAGCCAGCCCCCCGCCGCAGCGGGCGCGCCCGCCAGCGGGTGCAGCCGCCGCCTGCACGCACCAGCGGCAGGGCAACGCGGTCCCGCGCCAAGATGCAGCCGCAGCTAGCGGCACTGGACATCATCGCTGAGGAGGACCCCTCCGCCGCTGGCGAGCAACAGCAGCTGACGCACCACAGGCGCACGTCATTGTCCGAGGCGGATGACGAACGCGTCGTGGCCCCTGCAGCTGAGGCGGAGGCCGCACCGGCCCCCTGGCGCACATCGTCACGGCGCCACGGCAGCAGCACGAGCGCTCCCAGCGGCTCGCCCGGGCCGCCGAAGGCTAACAAGCCCGGCAGGGTGCTGCGCATCCCGCGTGCTTCCGCCGTTCAGCAGCACGAACAGCAGCACGAACAGCAGCACGAACAGCAGCACGAACAGCAGCACGAGCAGCAGCAGCAGCAGGAGGAGGAGAACGAGCACCGCCCTGAGGAAGACCAGCAGCAGCCGCAGCTTGACGCCCAGCAGCACACGTTAGGGATGGAAGAGGCGCGTGAGGGCGGTATCCAGCCCTCCTCACCCGAACACGTACTTCTGGCATCGCCCCCTGGAGTCCAGCTTTTGGCTTCACAGCAGACCCATGGTGCTGAGGGCTCTGCGACGCCACGGCTGATGGGTGCCGGCGCGCAGCGCCGCAGCAGGGCAGCAAGCCAGCTGCTGGCGGCGCCAGGCATCGCCGAAGCTGTGCCGGCCCAGAAGGCAAGTCCCGCCGCAGCAGCGACCGCCGCTTCGCCGGCGGCGGCAGCTCCAGGAGCAGCGGCACCCGCGGAAGCGGGATCGGCAGAGGCAGCGGCGGCGGGCGCCGGCAGCGGAGCGCGCGGCGGTGTGGGGCGGGACGCCAAGTCCTTGTCGTTTGGCGCGGGCCTCCAGCCAGCGCCACTGGGGAGCCCAGATGCCGGGCCGACGCAGGCAGACGAGCAGCAGCAGGGCGGATCAGCACAGGCCCCAGATCTGGAGCGCGACGAGGACGCGCAGCAGCCGAGGGGGCGCGGTGCTGGCCGGGAGATCTCCTTTGGTCTTGTGCAGGGGCCGCTTGCACCCCAGCCTGACGTGCTCGTGCCGGCGCCCCTCCCTGCCCGGACACCGCGGGCCCGGCAGAGCGCACGGGCGCCGTCAGCTGCTGCGCAGCAGACACCCGCCTCCAGCACGCAAGCTGCGGGTGAGGGCTCCGGCACTCCAGAGTGCACGCCCCTCCCGGCGGCGGCCGCAGCCGCGCCGCCTGCGGCAGGCGGCAGGGTCCTGCGCAGCGCCGCCAAGGGCCCCCTCCAAAGCGAAGCCCCCGTCGCGCCCACGACGGCGGCGGACGCCCGCGACACGCCGGGCGGTGCGGCGGCCGGCGAGCGGGCGGCGGCGGCAGAGGCAGCAGCAGCGGCAGCAGCGGTCCCGGCCGCGCCGAGGGCGGGTGGGGCGGCGTCCAACCTGGTGTCTGGCTTCCGGTCCTTCCTGCCCAGCTTCATGCAGTCAAAACAGGCGTCCCCCTCCATCGCCGCCGGCAAGGCCAAAGTCAAGGTGCGTGGCCATGGACACGCATGGGCTGCACTGCTACCGTTCTGCAGGCCAGGTGCTTGGGACAGTTTGCCGCGAGCGGGGCATCGTCCCGTGAGGCCTGATGGGCCGCAGCCAAACAATGAGTGTGTGCATGCGGACGCGCTGGCGCACGCATGCACATACATACAGACGCACGTACACGATCGCTCGTTAACATGCACAAACACATATGCGTGCACATACATATACACACACAGAGACACACACAGACACACACACACACACACACATACACATACAAACACGTCCACACACGCGCGAGCATACCCACACTCAATGCAAGCTCACGGACACCCTCACACACCACAAACACACACACACACACACACACACACACACACACACACACACACACAAAGCATGCAAATTGCATAAATCCTGCGCTCTCACCTGGATCTTGTCCCCTCCCAGGTGAAAGCCCTGGAAGCCGCCCAAGCCGCGAAGAAGGCGGAGGAGGCGCGCCTCGCCGACAAGGCGCGCCAGCGCGAGGGCGCCGCCGCCGCAGCCGCCGCCGCCGCCGCCACAGGAGAGCCCGTCCCCGAGGCGCCGTGTGCGCCGGCCGCGGCTGCAAAGCCCAAGGCTGGCCGCGTGCCCGTCGCCGCCGAGGCGCCAGCGGGTGAGGGCGATGTCAGCGGCGCCGCCGTGGCCAGCACGCAGAGGACGCCAGCAGGCGCGGTGGCCGCGTCCAGGGTGGCTGCGGTGGAGAAGGTTGCGGCGGGCCAGGCGGGGTCCGGCTCGGGCGGCGCGGTCCGCGTGCCGGTGGCGGCGCCCAAGGTGGCCGAGGACGAGGGCGCGAGGCGGCCGGTGCCAGACAAGGAGGCGGCTAAACGCAGGGCGGAGCGGGACGCGGAGGCGGCGAAAAAGTGAGGGCCACAGGCGATGATTGTTGGCTCTGGGATATGGGTGGCCGGCAGCAGCTGACCTGAAACAAAAGAAGGCGGTTCAGCCTATTTAACGGGGGCAGCGCGCTGCCGGCTCGTACCCATGATGTGTGCTGCTGGTCTCCTGAGCTCATCGCATGCAGTTGTGTGAGAGCACGCTGATGGCGTAACCTAACGCCTCGCCCAGGGCGCTGGACAAGCAGGAGCGCGAGGAGCGCCAGCGGCGCGTGGAGGCGAAGCGGCGCGACGACGAGGCGCGGCGCCGCGCCGAGCTGGAGGAGAAGCAGCGCGCCAAGGAAGAGCGCATGGCACAGAGGCGGCAGCAGATGGCGGGGGCCGCGGGCGGAGGCGGCGGCATCGGCGGGGGGGCGAACGGCCCACGCCTAGGGGCGCCGGGCGGCGGGGCAGCCGGCGGCAAGCCAACCACGCAGCACGCCATGGCCAAGGTAAGTGCGTATTGCAAGATGCGGGGTGCCAGGTCACTCTGCTGCTCTGCTACCTCTGGCAAGCTGGGCTGCAGCAAAGTGAGCTGCATCAGACCTGCGGAGGACAAGCAGGCACACGGGCGATGAACGCCGGTGCGCCCCGGCTGCAACCCCCAACACCTGCAGGACCACTCCGACGCATTCGGCGCCAAGGCGCCCAATGCAAAGGCGGCAGCTACGGCAGCGACAGGGGGCAGCGCAGCAGTGACGCCGGCGGCGGCGGCGCTGCCAAGCTCGCGCCCGCACACGCCGGGCGGGCCGGGGGAGCAGGGCTCGCCGATGCGGGTGCGGCTAGGCCCGCCAGCTGGCAGCCATCTGGCGCCTGTCGCGCACCATGCGTGGTTCAGTTTCACGAGGGCAGGGAACAAGGCTCGGCTGCTGCAGCCTGGGGTCCCTGCATGCATGCATGCATGCATGCGCCCCTTGCCCACCAAGACCGTGCACTTCAGGCCCTGGCGGCATCGGGCGTGCTGCACGCCCACCCATGGACCCACCTACCCATGCACCCGCAACAGGTTCAAGTGCTGGCTCCCGTGCATGCGGGCGCGGGCGGCAGCGGCAGCGGGCAGCAGCTGGCGGCGGACAAGGGGCTCATGCCGCCGCCCACCATCCACAAGACGCCCGCCGCGCAGCCGGTGTCGGAGCAGGTGGGGCGCTCTCTGGTCCAAGGACTAGCTGCTGCACCTGGCAAGGACAGCCCTTTCCCGGGTGCTGCTGCTTGACGGCCGGCCTAACCATGGAGCCATGGGGTGTGCTGCCTGAGACGTGGCTGCCTGGACCTTGTCTGGTTGCAAACCTGCCTGCCGCCTTCTCCTTGCAGCCTCGCCACCATCACCACCACCTCTGCGAAGCACCTTGAACACACACACACACACACACACACACACACACACACACACACACTCTCTCTCTCTCTCTCTCTCTCTCTCAAACGTACCAGGAGCGCCACAACATCGAGATGCTCAAGAGCTCACCCTACGTCAACATGGGCTCCAAGCGGACGCCAAAGATGGCCCTGCCAAACCCGCACAACTATGAGATCTCGCCATACAGGTGTGGGCCAGCCGGGGCGCGGTGCTCCACCCGTCAAACTCACCTTTGCAGTTATGCAAGCTATTGCCCCGCCCAGCACTCCCACCGCACTGCCGATGTTGAGCCCCCGGCCTTATCCAATGATGAACTCCTGTTGCTAGGCCCTGTTGGATCCGACGACCCCGCACTCTGCCAGGGCACCACGACACCCCCACCCCTTCCATTAACTATCCACAATCCCTCAACCTAGGGACGACGAGGAGGCGACCCCCGACCGCTCCGGCAAGCCCATCCCTGACTGGGCGCGCAGCCACAACCTGGGCGACTGCCTGCGGCGCCAGCAGCACGTGGACCCGGACAAGCTGTTTGGCGCTAAGCAGACCAGCTGCCCCCTGGACGACATATTCAAGGGCGTCGGTGAGGGTGCTTGCTTGGACGGCAGCAAGGGCGTGGAGGGCGGCGCCGCTGGGGTCCTCGATGGGCGGCTTGTGGTTCGGGGGGAGGGGCCAGGGGGAGGGGCACATTCTGGTTGTGCTCAAACGGAAAGATGCAAGCGCAGCAGCAGCATCACACGGGTCAGCCGCGCGTGCGGCATGATAACAGCGGCGGCCGCAGCAGCAGCGACTGGGAAAGCCATCATCCATGGCTCGGCTGGGCACAGGAACTGATGCGAGGCGGGGAAGCTTGCCGCGGCCTTGCCTGTGTATGTGAACATGCCTATGTTCTCAGGTGAATCATGCCCTGCCTCCCGATGCACCCGCAGAGCTGCTGCCCAACTCGCAACCGTCGCGGCCGCGCAAGCGCCAGCTGCACCAGCGCACCAGCAGCGGGGACTGGAGCCGCGACAAGGTCACGTGGAGCGAAGAGATCGCTTACAAGAAGGCGATGGGCTACGTATAGGCCCGGGGCACCAGTGCCGAGGCGCGCGATGGTCTGTCAGAGTGAAGAGTATCAAATGGCCAGGGCGGCCGGCCTCCTTGTGACAATTGTGGCTGGCCCGCGCGGCACGCAGCCGGGCTGTGATGTGTGAGGCGAGCGTCTCGCCAACTGCAGCCTCACAGCAGGGAGGCCAGCAGGCTGGCCCCAGCCCCCGTAACGTGGTCGGGCAGCACTGGATGTGCGCCGCAGGGCTGCGCGCCGTTGTTGAAAATGCTGTGCATCGCTGCGGCGGCCACCTTGAGCCTGGACACCCTAGATCTGTAATTACAGCGATAGAGCTCGTGCTTGTGTTTGCAGTATCTGTGCTAGGGCAAGGGAACACTATTCAGGAACCAGCCAGGCAAGAGGGGATAAGGCGGATGGGGCTATCACTGCCAGTTACGCCATGCGCCAGACGCGCGGAGGCATGACCTCGGCTTGCCCGCCTGCTTTGGTGCATGTTCAATGGCAACTTTTCTGCAGGCTAGATGGGTTGATCATGCAGATTGACCAAGCAAGCCAGTGTGCTGCACAAACAGGCAACTCTGATCACCCCTCCACCGCAGCTTTGAACTGCGGTGGGTTGCCTGCGACAGAAGCAGGCAGGGACAGCACATGTTGCAGGTTGAGTCACTAAGCATCGGAGGGTGGATCTTGACCTGTGCTGTATCTTGCCTGCTGAGCTGCTGTGCTAACCCACATTAGTACGGGTGCGAATGGGCGTGCAGGCAGGACCGATGAGCTGGCCCACACCTTTTGGGGGCTGCACTTGTCCAACAGTCAGGCCGCTCTCCTTCACGCCGCAGCACTGGCCGTCCTGCCCTTAGACCGCGTCCGCGCTGAGACGGGCTGCGCCGCTGCAGTGCGCACACGCAGCCTGCGGCGCGTCCGCGCCGCAATGGGCTCCAGCACGCCGCAGCTGGCCTGGCTGCACGCTGCGATGGGGGCCACGACAGACATGCCACCGCAGGAAGGCGAGCCAGCGGTCGCTGCGCTGCCGCCGCTGCAGCCGCTGCCGCCGCTGCTGCCGCTGCCGCCGCTGCCACCGCCGCTGCCGCCACCGCTGCCGCAGCCCCCGCCGCTGCCGCCGCCCCCGCCGCTGCCGCTGCCGCTGCCGCTGCCGCTGCCGCCGCCGCTGCCCCTACCGCTACTGCCGCCACTGTCGCTAGTGTCGCTGCTCCTGCCGCTGCGGCCGCTGTCGCTGGTGTCACTGCTGCTGCTGCCGCTGTTGCTGGTGTCACTGCTGCTGGTGCTGAAGCTGTCGCTGCTGATGCTGATGCCGGAGTCGCTGCCACTGCCAGCGCCGCTGTCACGGCTGCGGCTAGCGGCGGCGAAGATGTCATCGCGAATGAAGCAGGCAGACGCGGCGGAGGTGCTGGCAAAGGCAAAGTCAGCAGACGGTGCATAGGGGCAGGTGTAGCTGGGAGCGACACCCGGGGCGGCGCTGATGGTCGCCTGCTCGTCTGCCACCACCACAAATGCCGATGTAGAGAGCTCCAGGTCAAGGCTGCAGCCCAGGAAGTCAGACAAGAATCCGTTGGGCTCAAGGAGCAGCTGCAGGCTGTTGCAGGGCGGCAGCGCAAAGGTGAAAGGCTGCGGGCTGGGCGCGAGGGCGGCTGACGTGTGGCTGGCAAACTCTGCCTTGAACGCGGCGTCGATGTCGGCAGAAAACTCCTCGTCGTACACACCAGCCTCCGCACTGATGGCGTCCTGCTCATCCACGACCCCGCACGCAGTCGCGGCCGGCCCCAGCAGCAGGCCGCGGCCATCGTAGCACAGCTCGTCGTCGCTGAAGCCGGCGTTCAGCAGCCACGCGCGGTGGCGCTCGTTGAAGTAGGCCAGGTCCTCCTCGCTCTGGAAGTCGTCGCCGCCGCTGGGGCCGCCGGGCGTGTCGGCGACGCCGCAGGAGGGCACCTGCTGAGAGGGTGCGGCGGACGAGGACGACCTGGGCAGCGGCAGCGAGCCCATGGCGACGTGCGCGGCGGTGTTGCTGCTGGCCCCAAACAGGTCTGTGGGGTACACTGCGCCCTCAGCATCAAGGCGATCGCTGTCAGAGGCAAACAATGCGGTGCTGCTGGGCTCCGCAGGAGTGATGGGGGTGCACAGGGCAGCGTGCTCGTCAAAGCAGGGGTTGCCGGCGGTGTAGTGGCCAAAGCCACTGAAGAGAAGATCGTGGAAGGCCATGGTGGTGGCGAGGTCGATCGCAGGAGACCAGCGTCGTGTTGCCACGCGATGATCTGTGGAGTTGCAGGTTGACTGCTTGAGGTGGCTTGGGTTCTTTCAGGTGGACTGAAAGGGAACGATTGTGTTGGTTGCTCGCTCTAAATTGAAGCGGGGCGGAGTCTGGGCCGTCTCATTGCGGTTTGACCACATGCGAGCGCACGATCTGGTCGCAATTGCGGCGTCAAAGGCTTCTGAGACCTTGAAGAGAACGCCATGGTGCTAGGCAAGGCCGTGAATCCACGACTTGGTGAGCTCAGGGGTGATCTGGGCGCGCGTCTAACGCAGTGCTTCGATGCGCATGCGGGGGTCACATGATGGTAGGGAGAAACTGCGGATGTAGCTTATGCAGAAACAGTGTGCATGCATAACAGATTGCAATGCTGCACTGGGTTATCCACACATTGCTGCTGCGCCATGTTGCGCCGAAACCCGGTGTGGCAACCAACTCTGAAGCACACATCTCCCTGCCCAGCTAGTTGAGAGGTGCGACGTGCGCATGGTGGCTGCTCCAGACGCTCGTGCTGTATCCAAGGCATGCGCATGCCATGACGTTAGATCATACACCCGGCAAAGCATGCAAACACCCGGTCGTATTGTGCGTACGCATCAGCGTCCCAACTGGCTCATCCGCAGCGCAGGTGCAGGTGCGGCTTGTTCATGGACAATTGCATGCATTACATGGGTTTCCAGTACAACTAGAAGTGGCGACCAGGCGGCGCCCTGCTCAATGACAATCAGCTGCGGCATGCCGCGCCCCAATACGCCACGTGGCCAGCAACGCCCCTGCTGCTGCTGCTGCTGCTGCTGCTGGCGGCGGTGGCTCACATGCGCCACGTAACATCATCACGCATACACCAGGCTGAAGCTCAGCACCATGAAGCCCATGGACAGCCACGTCACCAGCCGGACGCACGTCACCGCCTCGGCGAAGCTGGTGAACAGGCCGGACTCGTAGAAGAGCAGCACCAGGTTGTTCAGGCTGGTGACATTTGAGTTCTGGGGCAGCACCGTGAGGACGGTGAGCACGGCGTAGATGTAGGGGTTGCGCAGCACCAGCAGGCCCGCGTAAACGCCTGGGCGACGGGGCGAGCAGGCAGGTGGGTGGGGACGTTGTGTGAGGCCCATCGCAAGGTGTCAGGGGCGGAGCCAACTGAGATAGTACCACCCAGGCGTGTGCCGGTCAGCTCTCGATGCAAGAAAGACTTGTTCGTGGCACGAGGAGCCACCCATGAGCCGCACAACAGTGCGAGAGGAACGGACCAAAAGCGCACGCACGCACTGGTCACCATTGCAGCCGCTACCATGCATCAGCCAGCTGCCGAGACGCACCGACAATGGCGAGGTACACTGGGTTGAACCGGCTGCCCAGCTCCGCTGCACCCTTGCCCACGTTGGGCTGCCGGTCGTCCGCCGCACGGCACACTAAAGCCGCCCGCCCGCGTCTGCTGCTGTTTGCGGCTACACGGCCAGTGCTGCTGCTGATGCTGCTGCTGCTACTACTGGTGTGACCGGTGGAGCGGCTGCTGTTGGCATGAACCCGGCAAACACTAGAGGCCTGTCTGGTGGCAAGGCTGGGCAGGCCCCTGCGCCGCAGGGCGCATGCGGCGGCGTCAAGTTGGGCGTGTCGCGTTCTGGCAAAGCATGCAAGCTGTGTGCCAAACCGCCAGCCTCGCCGTTCACAGCACAACAAATCGTGGGGATTGCGTGGCCCAATGCGCCTCTCCACAGCTGCGCCTCTCACCTAGCGCGGCACAAGCCAGGCTGTGAGATCGTCTGCATTGCTGCGCCTCCCGCTCACGGCCCCGTGCCCTGTTGAATGCCACGCGTAGCACGGCAATCGGCTGCTTGTAGTGCGCTCTGGCCAGAGCGAATGGCTCGCTGTGTAGATGGGTCCAAAGGCAGCAGCTCCGGGGCTACTGTATGCAGTTAGCAGAAAGATATGAGAGCGGTACGGTCAGGCGCGTTGCATCACCTTTTTGCGAAACGATACGTCGTCAGCTGTTGCTGGTGACCACTTACTGCGTGACAGCAGTGAGATCAGTGACACCAGGCTCGAGCCTGCACTGTTTCACCTTGGCTTTAATCAGCATGCATCAAGCTGGTCCAGGGCACTCAACGGTGGGCCTGCTTACTGTGCGAGGGCAGAAGAGGTGGTGGCATGTGATGTGCATACACATGGCTTGGCCACGTCCAACACATGGCTTGACCACGCTTAGTGGGTCAACTTGAGCGGCGAGGTTGGGTCGCAGCTGGGAAGTTGTCTGATACCAATTGAAGACAGCCCATCATGACACACATCAAATTTTCTCGGGTTTCTACCCCCTTCCTGCACCGAAGCATCCCTTGCGGAGATGTGCGGGTAGACCTCTTACCCGGCCCAGCAGGCCCCCAAAGAACCAGCCGTACATCACATGCCCGGAACCAACAACAGCACTATACCAGAGAGGTACATGGGAAGCTCCCCTCTCTGACGCATGTCTATTCCACATGGGAAGCTCAGGCATGATGTTGTGTCCTGCAGCAGAGTTGCAGCATGCATCGGTCAACAGGGCAGTCAAACGGGCAGACAACACCAACAGCACAGAACGAGCAACCAGGCTGCGCAGCCCTGCTACTGTCACTTTTGATAGTTGCATGTGTCCTTAAGCACAACGCCGGCACACTGCATGCATCGTGCCGCGCCCCGGTGACCGACACGATGTTGCAGCAGCGCTTTGCGACGCCAACCAGACGCGTGCAGGGAACGCCGATGGCGATGCTAGGCCGCAGTGTATCGCGTCTTATCAGGCCCACACTCGTTGGCGCGCGGAGCGTTGGAGTGCCAAGGCGGTGGGCGACCGTGGGCAAGGCGTCCGTGGTCGATGCCACCACCCAGCCCGCTGCGAGCTTGGTGGAGGACACCAGCGAGCAGAAAATATCAACAGCATATCCTTTTCCAGAAATTGAGCGCAAATGGCAGGAGCACTGGGAGGCGAACCAGACATTCAGGACGCCAGAGGAGGTGGACACGTCCAAGCCCAAGTACTATGTCCTTGATATGTTCCCGTATCCTAGGTGCGATTTTGCATAGGCGGCTGGCATGGAGTGGGCAATGTGCGGGCTCACTGCGCCGCCGCCGTTTGTGCACAGCGCGTGTGGCGCAACAGCGCATTCGAGCCCATGAGCAAGAGCAAGTCGCGTCATACCAGCATGATTGCGCTACAGGCATGCGCTGATGCAATTGGGCCCATGCCTGCCAGCAGAGGGGGCAAACGCCCTTGCTGAGCACAAACCTTCCGCGAGCAGCTTGTTGAGCAGGCGATCCCCCCTACCCGTGCGCCTTTGCGCGCACTCCCTGAATGCGACTGCCTCCTGCAACCTCCCCCAGCGGTGCGGGGCTGCACGTGGGCCACCCCGAGGGCTACACAGCCACTGATATTCTGGCGCGCTACAAGCGCATGCGCGGCTTCAACGTGCTGCATCCCATGGGCTGGGACGCGTTTGGCCTGCCGGCGGAGCAGTACGCCATCCAGACCGGCACACACCCCGCCGAGACGACGGCGCGCAACGTGGCACGGTTCAGGCAGCAGCTGAAGATGCTGGGTTTCAGCTACGACTGGCAGCGCGAGGTGTCGACGACTGACGCCGATTACTACAAGTGGGTTGTTGACCGCGTTGACCCACGCCTGCGCGGCGCCCGCTGGGGCGAGTGGCAGCAGCGGGTCGCAGCCCGCTGCCCTCCTGGACTATTTTTTGAGCCAGGAGCGGCGGCGGCGGCGGCGGCCCGACGGCCGAGATGGATTGTCGGCGGAAGCCTGTGGCCCTCCTTAGAGGCTCCTTGTTGCATGGAGGGCGGCAGGGAGTGCGGCAAGCAGCCAAAAGCGGCCGGCTGGCTCCCATGCCCCCGCACCCATGCGCGCTTGCCCCCTTCCCAGGTGGACCCAGTGGATCTTCCTGCAGCTGTTCAAGAAGGGCCTGGCCTACCAGGCCGAGGTCCCTGTGAACTGGTGCCCCGCGCTGGGCACCGTCCTGGCCAACGAGGAGGTGCGTCGCCCCCGCGGCCTCGGCGCCGCCGCCGCAGCCCGCACGTAGCCGCGGCCCGCTGCGAGCACCCCGGGGCCCAGCCGGGCGGCGCGGCCGCGCGCAGGCTAGGGGGCACACGAGGTGGCGGAGGGGGGCGGGGGACGGGCCGTGTGGGCTGCGGAGGGCGCCGGCCTGTGGTGCCAGCAGCTGGTGTGCCGGCAGGCAGGCCGGAGTTGGATTCGCCTATAAGGCTTCGCCCAGCATCAGCAGTCCCACCCCCCGCCACCTTTGACCGGCTGCCCCTGGACCCCAGGTGATCGACGGCAAGAGCGAGCGCGGCAGCCACCCTGTCGTGCGCCTGCCCATGAAGCAGTGGATGCTCAAGATCACGGCCTACGCGGACAGGCTGCTGGAGGACCTGGACGATCTCGACTGGGCCGACTCGATCAAGGAGATGCAGCGGAATTGGATCGGGCGCAGCGAGGGCGCGGAGATCGAGTTTGAGGTGTGTGTTGCGGTCATGTTGGGAGCGCGCCATGCAAAACGGGGCCGACCGTGGCTCCAGCAGTTGCTGGGGGCACGTGGCTCAGGGGCGAACGCTGGTGCAGCCCCCGCGGCCCCCTTCCATACTCATGCTCCAACGTCCCCTCTCCTCGGGCTCTCACGCATCCTCTTAAACCCTCTCGCTCCAACACACAAATCCCCCACATTTGCAGCTATCACCTCTCCCACCCCTGAATCTTCGCCTGTCGCACCCCCGCCCGCCCCCTGCAGATCTCCGCCGGCGAGGGCGCCGCCGTGGCCCCTGGCACCAAGCTGTCCGTCTTCACCACGCGCCCCGACACGCTGTACGGCGCCACCTACATGGTCGTGGCCCCCGAGCACCCGCTGCTGGACGCCCTGCTGTCGGACGGCCAGCGCGGGGAGGCGCGCGCCTACGCCGACGCGGCGGCGCGGAAGAGCGACCTGGAGCGGACGGAACTGCAGAAGGAGAAGACCGGGGTGTTCACTGGTGGGC